CACAGCCACGGCTTTGCACAATTCCTCACCCTCTATTACATTCAGACACCTTGGTCACACTTCCACAAGCATGTATGGGGATGATTCAAAGTGGTTTGTGCTCCTGTTTTGCCATAAAATAAGCTGAGCTATCTCATTAAATACCCTTGGACTATTTTTCACAAAGTGCAAATCAAGCAAACCAACATTTCACTTTGGGAAAGTCGAGCGTATGTTTCTGGGACAACTAGGGTCTGACTACCAAACAATTAGGTCTCACAAATCAGAGGCTGAAACATGCTCTTAGGATTCAATTATAACACTCTTCTTAGATTCCAAACATAGGTAATACTGGATTTCTTACGCTAGTACAGATCACTGACTTCAGTGCAGCAGTTTTCCCCTTCACCCTCAGGGTGTTACTACATTCTGCCAGCTTTGCTGTGCACAGAGAGCTCCAACTGCTGTAAAGAGTTCCTTTTCCTTCAGCCTCCCACTTTGTGTGTAATTGCTCAGTAAATTTTCCTTAACATACATATTATGCAAACTCTTCTCTAATCTTCTGGTAACTCCCTAGCTAACAGTAACTTTTTACAAGATATTCCAGTTCATTAACTACTTTTAAATATCAAAGATAAGACACATGRAAAAGGATTTATGTATTCAGATTATCCAAATAGTAACTTACCTGAGTGGGATCTGGGAGGATCAAATCACAACTTTTAGGTAAATGTTTGTGAAGAAATGTTTTCCCCAGAAAGTGGTTACTGGAGCTCAACCTCTGTGATTTCAAGTCAACAGAAATTACACGCCCCAGCAAGGGACCAACTTCCATCTATAAGGAGTACAAGATCCTCAGTTGCCAAGTGCTTGAGGGAACTCGTATGGATCACATCTGAACTAGACAATACTAATGTTTTCATAATTATAGCTTTTAATGCATGAAGCTGATAAATCTAAACCAGTGCAGCTGCAGAACTTTAAGATTCAGGTGCCGTACCCTTCTTTAAGGAGTAAAACATGCAGAGACTTGTGTGTGCTTCTTTAAACAACACCAAAGATGGCAGTGCTAAAAACATGCCCTACACAAACTTACTAAGAGCAATCTCACCAGGGTTTAAAGCATGAAACTATGTGGAGGCTTAAAATGGAGATCTTACATGACTAAGTGCACTTGGCTGTTTGGTAAGCAAGAAAACATAGGTGCTACTAAACTCCATCATATCTGATGATCTTAGAGGCATCTTCCAAACTTAATGAATCTRTAATTCTGTGTCCAAAGCCTGATGAATTCCAACCAGTTTAAAGCATCATTAAAAATTCTTTGACTAGGCATTCCATATGAGATTGGGCAGAGTAACAGGGCATCCTAAGGAATGGATCATTTCTAGAACTTCTATCTCTATTTTCATGACACAAACTGCAGAGAAAAAACCTCCATTGGAGGACATGAAACAGAAGTTTCATTAGATTTTTCCCTCATCTCTAGTTTTATTTAATTCCATAAAATCTCTCAGTTATTGTTATGCACCTACCACACAAAACTGTTTCAAGGATAACTGATATGTCTGCATAGCACTTTGAGGACATAAAGTACTATATGAGTGCCAAGTATTAATAAATGAACTGCAGAAAGAAATTTTATTTCGACTTTCTACCCAAGGAGCTARTATCTGAATTTTAAAAAAGCATATGGATCAATCAAAAATAGAATAGATGTTTTAGAAATTAAGAAGATGCTAAATGACAAAATTACAAAACGAAAATATTTCCAGAATCATTGCATTTTTTTCTCTCAGGAAAGTGCAGTTCTAGAAGAATCCTGTTCTCCCCACAGTCCTGGTTTTTACACTCTCTTTTCCAGCTGACTTGACTGAAGTGCAGGCCATTAATATCTGAAGTGCCTTGTTTTGATTATACTGGCCTTTGCTGGTACCAATCTAGTTAAGGTATCACCAAGAATTTCCAGCATAAAACACATTTACAGGTTTATAACTTGGCTTTAAAAATTCTACTACAAAAAGACAGTGGGAGGCTGAAAGGCTTAGAYGAGTGCATTATATTACATATCCTATGTGATGCATACTTGCTCACAATGCTATGAAAAAGGGAGGGATTAGCTTTAACTCTGAATTACCATGTTTCAGAAGCCACCTAAAATGATTCTTTTACTTCCCTGTTTATGTATTCAAAATAATGTTTTGTAAATGTTTCAGCTAATTAGTTGCCCACTTCAATAGTCTGGCTTAAATTACAGAAAGTGTCCATATAATACAGGAATTAGAATGTCATGTCTGTTTACTGTATTTTTATGCAAACATTCCCTCCCTTTCTCCCTTCAGAAGCCCATTGAGGCTCATCTTCAAAGGGTCAACGTCTAGGTGATGGGATGTTACAAATAGCTGGCAGGTCAAAAGCTTAAATGAAGATCAAGGCTGAATAAACAAACTGTAGGTGTTTACCTTTCTGTAAAAAATAAACAGGAAACAGCTACAGTAAAGAGAACAGTGCAGTTTACTTAAAATGCTAGTCTTAAAGCAACATGTTTTTCTGGCCATTRGTACTATATTTCCTCTAGCCCACATAAGAACACAACACAGCTCTCCACTGCAGCACAGCAACATTAACTATAAAACCTGCCATTAAAGGGCAGAGGGTAATGGCATCAGTGTGGGCAACCCATGCTCAGGTGGTGTTCAACTATTATCTCCAGTTTAAGTAGGCTGAAAATACGCAAATCCAGCCAGCACTGGTTTTAGATGAAATTGTCAGTTTTATGGATATTTATAGCATGTGTCCAGTCTTGCAGAACTCCATCTTCCTCCAYCTAATCTGTAATATAAACTGTTTTTAGTCCACATTAATACAAATTTGTCACTGGGATACTTCTCATATTCTGTGTAAGTCAGGCAGTGGATCAATACTCAGCCATGCTGAGGAAAAAAAAAATCATTAAGTTAGGATCCTGTTAAAAATACAGACAACAGGAGAATAAACCTTACGCACAGCCCCCATTCCATCTGGATGCATAAGGAGATTATACTTTTACATACATCAAAAGTGTCTTTTCAATGCATAGTTTTAAAGAATCCTACAGGTAGTACCTTTGATAGATATCCTATACCAAATCARTATCACCTGAAAAAAATTTAACCTCTCTGCTTCTCATGAAAGCTCCTCCCAAGTTTTGCATCAATCGCCTTACCCTTACACTTCCTGTGGTGAAATCACAGCACGAAACYGAAATAGCAAAGCTATTTCCACGACAGTATCTGGTGATGACAAGCATAGGTTGTAASTTCTCCTTAGATCGAAGAATAAGACAATTGAGACAGACATTAGACCCAATATCAATAAACTAAAAATCAAAAAAAAAGCATGCTTACAAAAATTTATTTTTTTTTAAAGTTGAAGTTCTTCTATTATTTGAAGTTGCCTAATGTAAAGCCTCCTTGGAAATTCTACTGTGCATTTTAGGTTTTTTAGCCCCTCGACATTTTTCAGAGTCCAAAAAGCATATATCCCACTTGCATCGGAGTACTCTTAATGTAAGGCTGGTCTGTTTGCCTCCAAAGTAAATGGAAAACACAACAGCCACACAATCCTCTTCCTTTTGTTCTCCCAACCCACATAAGAAACAGAAACCAATGCCATGCCCCATAGGTCAACAAACTTGAGCTCTGTGAGACAATAATTGCAGAGTTGAGATTCCTTTGAGACACCTTGCCTCCGGCTCAGCAAAGTTTAAATCAAGAAAACATAAGCCTCAGTGTCCCAACTGACCTTCACTAGTGTGAACTTGGAGAGAGAGAGAGAAATAGTCTCTCAGAAAGAAGCTCCAAAGCACACTTCAACCTTTGCAGCACATCATTCATTCACAGAAATGGTTTGCAAATGTAAGACTCAGTGTCCATCTTGTTACAGGTGTTTAAGCTCTGCTCAGTTTCACAGAAGTCAGTCTAAGTTGACAGCAGTAAGCAACTTACACAAGCAAGTTACTACTTACTGCTGTTAGGACAGTGACACAAGACTGGAGACAATGAAGCCCATCCTGTTAGCACCTTCAATGAAGCTCTCATATTTAAAGGGAATTTGCTGCTGCAGCTTTTCATTCTCACACTCTGCTCAAGTGACTTGGCTCTTTGTTTCTGTTGGGCTCACAGTACCACAGATCACTTCACCACCATGTTTCGTCATTTCACAACTGCAGTTGCCATGACAACAGGATGCAGCTTATCTGTGCTGTTTTCATWTTTCCAGGTTTGTTGCCATAACAACACATTGTGGCTTTCTACAAAAACAGCAACTTTAAGCCATGTATTATCAAGGACGCAAGATTCATTATGTATGTATGTTCACCAAAGACAAGATCTGTACAGGCCATTTGTAAATTAAGCTATTTTTTCTGAAGGGGGATTTTTCACTCACAAAAGTGAAAAGCTGACAGCAATTGCTAGAGGCAGACTGCTGAGACATCTAAAGCCTGGCCTTTAATAATAGCCAGAGTAATATAGCACTAGGCCACTTCCGAGTGGGGACTCCCCACAGTGTCAGACTGTGTCAAACTGCACAATTGTTATGTGATGTGAGTAAGTGTCTATACTTGATTCACCAAGGCAGATCTGAATTAGATGCTAGATGCAATTCTCTTGAGTTTTAACCCAGTGGCCTTCCCATTATTACCAGCATCACCACCATGCAGCTTTGTGTTCGAAGGCCCATTTTAATTCTGTAATTCAAGCTGTTGTTGTAGATTTGTTCTCAGACTCTGACCCTCTTTGCTTCCAGGTGACTGCATTTTGAACTTTTATTTACAGGAAGTGCACATTCATCAGACTGGTGAGAAAATGTTATACAAACACAGCATGCATRAACACAAAACAGTGATGGCTATGAGGGGTATCAGCTAACATGGCACTGTAACTTCATTACACCCTCATTTATGTACTTCACTAATGAGACAAGCACAGGTGTCCAACACGGTCCCTCACATGAGATGAATAACAATAATACAGTCCAACCTGCTTTAGCCATGCTTGGTATCCAGAAGATATAAGTTGGAATCCATCTTTTGGCATGTGTATTCGGGGCTAGGAGAGAATAGACATAAGAGAGACCTCCTTTTACACTGGGACCTAGCTAACCTAAGTCTAAATTCTGGAGCATTTTAAACAATGCAGATTTTTTAAACCACGTATGAAGGTTTAGTCCCCAGGTTAGTTCTTGTTTATTGCTCTGATATCAGCTGCTTTAAGAACACTTTATTTAAAAAGGTTACCATTATGTTTTCCACCATTTCACATTTCAATTCAGTATATACAGGTATTTTTTTTTTTAAATTTCCACAAAAATCCACTTGGATAAGCACAGCCTCTGTGGTGGGCACAATAGCAAAGACTAATGATCATTAATGCTTTTGACACTACATAAAGCAGATGGTGTCAAAACAGCAGCAGTCAAGCTATGAATGTTTTCACAGTCACCATTCTCAACAYAGTCAGACCAGACACTGGACAACATGAAGAGATCACAGAAAATTCCAGAAGAGGTGCAGCCTTAATACCAGGGTAGCAGGAAACTATACTCACACACAGCCATAAATTATGCCTTAATTCAACAGACAAACATAATCTCCTCCCCATTTACTGTTTTCATGGTTTATTGGGTTGAAGGAAAGGCAAGACATCCAATTGCTCTAGAAGCACAAAACATACAAAGTATAACTTACAGCTAAGAAAAGGTATGCAACAAAACCCAAAACACTGCCTGGCAGGATATTAATTTGCCGTTCAAAGATACTGTCACAGTCAAATGGATTCAAGCGTTCCCCATTCCCCCTCCCCCCAAAAAAGGAGATGCTTAGAAATTAAAATCACATCTAAGAAACCAGACCAGACAGGACATCCACATACAACAAGTCCAGAGTCTGTCTTACTCCTGGAAACTACTTCACAATCCCTTTATTAATTCACAGTACTTCCCCTCCAAATCAGATCTGTGCCCCTACCACTCCTCCTCAGAAGGCTGSAAAAAAGCTTTCTCATTTTCAGAAAGGCTCTGTTGAAGGTGAGTTTACTCTTCATTTGTTCTTGAGTCAACACAATAYTTAGTTTGTACAAACTGCATCCACTTTGGTACTCGTAACACCAAAAAATACAATTCTTTGGAGAGAAAAAATGTGTTAGAGCTGAATGACAAACCTTCACACCTATGGTGGGTAGTCCAGCCTTAGAATTTGAAAATAAAATAAGAACTAGAATAGGCTAAAATCTTTGTCTCTAAAGAGAAGTACACATTCAGGATTTTACWTTATACTTTGAGTACTAGTTATTTTTGCCCCTCTCCAGTTTGAATTTAAATCCTCCTAAATCTTTCAAAGCAGTAGTAAGATTATGCCCTGGTGTCCCAGCCAATGATCTCAGTTGAACATGAATTTTAATAACCGCCATTTTGCTGATAAATTAAAAGTCAAGTATATCTGGTTACTGGATTCATCTGCTGTGTTTGGACTTGCAATGCTTAACACATTAACAAACTGTGCTTTTAGGAGACTTCTCACACAGCTAGAAGCATMATCCTCCAAGACCTAATCCTTCCTTCAGCACTAACATCATGGGTGGCTAGTCTCTCTACGACTGTAAAATGAGGACAACACTCATTTAACCCACCTCACAGGTTTGCTGAGAGGAGCTGCTGATATTTCTGTGTGCTTTGGAAATGGAAGAAAATATATGAAGTGCTTTATATCTAGCAAGAACACAACAGAAACGCACATTTTACATCCGGCTCAAGTGCTACAGTTGCCTTTTCAAAGTAACACAGGGCAGTATGTATCTATCCAGGAAAAGAAAGCCCTCATAAAAAAAAGCAGAAATAACAATCTTTTGAAATCACAGTGTCAGAAGTAGAGAGTCCTGAATACCAGTCTCAGATGTGCCCAACTTCACACAACAAATTGTGAAAAATTACTTCATTTCTTCCTGTTTCTGTCACCTAACCTACAAATTAAAGGATAACAGTCAAGCTCTTCAGACCAGCRAGCTGCTTAACATTTGCTAGTCCATCAGTCCAGAGTAGTTTGAATAACTGATTTAAGACACTGACTTAAACCATTTAATTTTAAGACCCTGGTCCTGTAAATATGTCAGTGTATTAACAGTTCTGTTGCCACCAACAGGATTACTCCTAAGCAGAAGTGTTTCCAATATCAAAGATAACACTGTATTTCCATTTAGACAATTCTTATCAGCACGATTTTTTGTGAAAGTGAAGTTGCTTGAGTATTAYAAAAAAAGCAATCAGGACTTTTAGCAGATTAGCAGCTACTGTAAACTCAATTTATTTTTCAACGCTGGCAAGTTAAACATAAYAGTAGGAGAAACTAAGACACATCACTCATCCCTCAATACTGTATTTGCAAAATCCTCTCAATGCGGTATGTCTCCTCTGTATTTGATAAACCTATTCTTATCTAAGAAGAAATGAGACTACACGGAAGAGAAGCAAATTTTACCAGTATGAGATGTGTGTGTCACTACCCACATCCTGCTGCTTAAGCCATTAAAGTGGGGTATTTGTACAAGTGAGCCCCSATTCACATCAAATCAAGCACAACAGAAAACATAATTTAATTAAAATTTCACAGATTGTCCACTGGCTAAACTTTTATGAACAATCTCCCAAATTCTGAATTTCTGTGGTTCTCCAAGGAACACTGTAAATGATACCTAGRAACGCATTCTTCAGCAGAGGAAGGCAATTAAAGTAGAACATCTGGTTAAAATATTTTGATTTGCAGTATCCCAGTGACAGTAGAAAGGACTACAAAAGGACTRTCAATTTAAAAAAATAAAATTAAATTAAATTGTTCCTCTTCCCCCCAGCCTCAAAAAGACAAAAACCTGTCTTTTTTTGCAAACTGTATTAATCTATCAATCAACACTAAAATCTTCCATTTTTATCATCCATTCAAAGCAATTCCACCAGCAGTACAATTAACTGCCCAGCAAGACCTACTAATTTTTGTATTTTCATGCAGACACATCGTTTATGCTYATAGTTCAATACCATTCATAAGCACAGTATTTTCTCTCAGCATCTGCTCCAGCATTTTCCATGACTGRAAAGTCATGCTTTCTAGGGGAAATACTGCTAAGGGAATTTTGCTCTCTTTTTCAATAGCATCGCCAGCGAGTGCTTTCCTCAAAAAGTAATTCTGAAAGCACTATAACTGCTAATTTCTATCTATGCTATTTTGCTAATATTTCACATTTTAATTTAGGTGAGTGATTAATTAATAATATAACCTAGTCTACCTCCTTTCCCAAGACATTCACATTTATGATTGAGGCCTTCCTTTAAAAATGAGCCTTCCATTACCACAGATGGCTTATTCCACAACCATCAGCACAACTAACAGTTCTGAAATGCAATTTTACTCTGTATGAAATCTTTAGTCTCTCTAGTCTTTCTGGTGTCCACTGAACTTGTTATCTATACATTAGCCATAYATTAAAATTATTATATATATTGCAACTGTCTAAAACTGAGTAGCCAAAATAGCTTWCTTTGCTCATCTCTTTGTCTGCAACCCCTGGCTTTTTTCCTTTAGTAACCTATTCTACCATTTTCAATCCATGTGATTTCTGCAGTCCCTAGCAAGGCCCAGAACAACTGAATGATTTTTGAGAACAAGTCAGTAATTTAAAATTCTGWGGTACCCTCTCCACTTCTCTACAAAGGCTGATTTTCAGAGGACATTTAATTACAGGCCTGAGTTCCTATTTTCTAAGCCTAAACACAACCCCTGAAGGCTTACAAGATTTGAGTCACAGCTGGAGCTGTGGTTACTATACAGTTTAAATATCAGCCTCTTTACTGTGCAATTTGTTTCGAAAATCAAATCAGATGCTGTGTCATAAACAAGTGCTAATTAAGTACTGAACGGAAATTGGGCTTTTTTGTGCAAGAAGGGTTCTTAAATATCTGCATCTTCACTTCCATAGAAAGGATAAATACGTCAGGAATGATAATTATAAAAGGAAACCTACTATAGTACTTCCAAGGCAGTACTGCTGCCTCTGCATTTCATCTGCTTCCATGTAAGAAGAAATGGGGGGGGGGGGGGGGGGGGGGGAAGCTGAGACTTGTATGAAATATATACATACTAAGGATCTTATTAATCTGATCATATCACCCGTAATGCTTCCTTTTCCCTCCGAGAAGACATTCACTCTGGGTTTCCATCACATASGATTTAAACAAGCAAACTAAACCCATCTCTCTTTCTCACTGCAAGCAATAATGAAGGTACTTATACTACCACTTCTTTTGAGTCATGATCTACACCCAGTATTTATTTGACAATAGCAYTGAATTCATTAGATATAACACCTTGTTTGATAAATATCAAGTGAAGAACAGGAATAATGCATTTTAATACTCAGAAGGTTGCCTCTGAGTAACAATATTCATGACTCCATTAACTAACAGGCTCTCGGCTACAAAGGCAGAATTAGATCTGTCAGTCACTGACAYGGAAGGGCATGGCCAGTTGCACTGAAGATTGTCCAGTTGAGATGACTTCCACAGCAAAGGAAAGTATCCCCTGTGGCCTAGAACTTGTAATGAGTTTGCATCCATTACAGCAATAAACTGAATTCCTATTACACAATATACAACTTCATGGCCCAAACAGATCCCTGACTCTACTGCCCAAAGCAATACTCAAAATAAGGCACAGTTAGATCTGTAGACTTTAATTCCACAAAACCAAACACATGATTTCAAAATCTTTCATTGCTACTAGGAGAAAAACCCATGAACTCTCTGATCCTAAAACCATGAGTTGCCAATATTTAAGTGTGCCCTTTGTGAGATTTTGTAGAAASAATGAACAAACACTAAGTCAGCTGACTGTCAGGTCTCACAGTTTGATACAAACTCCTTCAGAAGGACACAGCACTCTCGAACAGTAGGTTCTGACTGCCTGCGAACTTAATGAGTTCACCGCACGTGGTGAACATGGCTACTCCAGTTCTTTAATGAATCTGCCTCAGTTTGTCGACTGAGATCTGCTCAAAACCAACTC